GGCGCCGCCGCCGCCGCCGCCGCCGCCGCCGCCGTCGCCGTGGCGTGGTTGATCGACCACGCGGAAGGTCCGCTGTCGTCCCAGGAGGCCGCGGGCTCGCCTTCCCAGGAAGCCTGCCCTACTACGCCCAGGGCGAGGCCGTCACGCTCCTCTCTCCCCGCGGCAGCAGCGAGGCGAGCGGCCACGGCCTCCATGTCCAGGCCGCCGGGATACCCGCGCCAGAAGCGGCCCGACCGCTTGTGGACCATACCAGCCTTCGCGTGTTGCGCGCACAACTCGGCCGCCTTCGTGCCGTCGACGCTGTACGCCGGCTGCTTGGTGCAGCCCCCCGGGTGAACGCACTTCCTGCTGCGCACGTCGATCATGCCGCCGAGCCCATGCTTTGCGCAGAAGAGGGCCCTCCGGGAGCCGGGTACGCCGTACGAAGGGTGCGTTCGGCAGCCCGGGTGGGTGCACTTCTTGGTGACGACGTCTTGCATGCCGTCGAGAACGTGCGTCGCACAGAAGAGAGCCCTCCGGGAGCCGGGCAAGCCGAACGCGGGCTGCTTGCCGCAGCCTTCGAACACGCACTTCTTGCTGCGCACGTCGACCATCCCCTCCCTCGAGTGCCGGCAGCAGAGCTCGGCCTTCTTGGTCCCCGGCAAGCCGTACGACGGCCACGTGACGCAGCCCTGGTGCCTGCACCTGTGTTGGGAGTACCAAAAAAGTAACACATCATTGTTAGGGGACATATGTAATAAACAGTCATATATTTTACTAAAGTGATATACTGTATTACATCAATGTGCTCCGATCCATGTTTCGAAAGACACCGCGACTTCACGCAATTATGATTCGATATTACGGAAGTTCGAAGCACACTCTATATATTCTAGTGGCTACGCCATTCGTCGTACCGCAAGTAGGGGCTGACGCAACTGAGCTTTCAGCGCCTAGAACGGCAATTTTGAAGCAGTAAGCACACACTGCTGTTGTTTGCCCACCTGGGTGCTGGCGATATCGCGGGATATTTCTTGATTTCCATGCTCAAAAACCTTGGTAATACGATCATGTCAGATATCATGATACAGACTTAACTACAATTATGTCGGAAGCCTGAGACGCAAGAGTTCAACCATTGTTGCACTCTAAAAGCAAGACGTTTTTTTTCGGTGCGTCAGTTCACGGTCGCCTTGAGACATTTTTTTCGCCGGCTGTTGCCCGCTGCAGCGGGCCAGCCAGTCTCTGGATCACAGCGCCCCTGTCGCGATCTCGAAACTCCGAAGACGAGTAGAGTTACAGCACGGTGAATGCACGCAACCACAATTTCAGTCATTGAGCTAGACGTTGCGGTGCGGTGAATCGGTTTTAATTGTTTTTAAATGGGTATTGAACATATTTTTCGTCCGTCTTCGCCGACGTGGGCGTGCCACTCTCACGATCACAGCGCCCCTGCCGCGAGCTCTAGACTCCAAGGGCGAGCCGAGTGACAGCACCGTGAAGTTCGACTAAATCTCCTGCACCCGGGCGCGTCTACGGTAGGGACTGTCACCTCAAAGAATCACGAAGCTCATTGGACGAGATTTGGGAGAACGTCAACTCATAAACCATGACCGACCACCACGCACGTTGTCGTTACACGTAGCACCGACGGCGGATGTTATTGTAATTGTGCCGCGTGGTGTCAACTAGATATCGACAGACTGCTGTCGTCACCTTCTCTAAGTCTAGCGTAAGCAACGATAACTGAAGTAATTACTTCGAAGTCCTCACGTGCATCGTGTATCTTCACGTACGTGCACACGGCACTAACGTATATATGGCTGAAATACACACTCACCCTCCAAGTGGCAAGTACAGGTCAAGTGCTGCTGTAGGAAGGAATTGAACAGGGTAAGTTAATTTTATTGTTGTGGCACGCCAAATCTGGCTTGTGCTTTTGAGTTCTCGACCATGCACGCACAACTCGCGGAAAACTGCAAGTTTGTTTGTCTTCTGTAATACTGTCAACGACGATGTACAGTAGTATTGAAGATGCTGCCGTAGCCTATACACTCTACCGTATACAGGTGAACGGTAGAGAGTTTGCGTACGTTTGTTGTGCGGTGTGCCACTACAAGCACATAATACCCCTGCCTGTCTTTCACAGGTGAACGGTAGATATACATAAATAGATCAAGTTTAAGTCGTCATACCACTACATGCACATTTCGTGGATAAATTACCACAAGCATTTAGTGGGAAAAAGAGGGGGCGGGAAAGACTCAACATACCCAATAGGAAGCAGGAACGGAGGCAACGCGGCATACAGGAAAGGACGATACAGGGTCAAAAATATTGACAGGGGCGCAAACGGAAAGATGAAAAAAACACGGAAGCAACGGCGCGTAGCCAAGTGCCAAAGAGAAAAGAAAGGGAAAAGCTCTTTAGTAACTCATAGGACGCAGGAAAGATCGAAACGCGGAGTACATGCAACGAAGTCACATGAACAAAATATCAAGTGAATAGGGAGACAAATGAGGTACAATAACATCATAGTATATCCACTGGTCCACCCCAAAGGCAAAGGGGGAAAGCAGGAAAAAAAGAAATAAGGACAAAGACACAGTGGGAGAGAAGTTCCATGGAAAAGGTAAAAAGAGGGAGAGAACGGAAAGAAGATGGGGAGGAAAGCCGTCACAAGCAAGAAAGGCCATAACGCGGCATCAAGGACGGGACACTACAGGGGGGGTAAAAAGTATTGACGGAGGGGAAAATGGAAAAGGAAAAAAGACGCAGGCACAAAGACACACAAGGAAGTACATATGTAAGAGAAAAAAAAGGGAAAATCTCTCTAATAACTGACAGGACGCAAGAAAGATAGAAACGCGGTGTACATGCAACAAAGTCACAGGAAGAAAAAAAAGTCACAAGGGAGAAAAATGAGCACCAACGTCACGGGAAGGTGGAAGACGCGTGGGAAAGTACGCAGAAAGCCAAAAAAGGGAGAGAACAGAGAAGGAAACAGGGGACTGCGCTTGAGCGGTGATGCGTTCGAGACAGCGTTCAGTCTACTTGGTGGTTGTGGTTTTGGTTGGGAGGAAAGTGGGCAAGCGCACATGTGTGTGCGCGGAGCATATATAGTAATGGGCCCTCTATAGTGCCGGTTGAATAGTGCCGGTGCCCGCTATAGTGCCGGTTAAATTTCTGGACACAGACAGCGCCCTCAATAGTGCCGGACCGGCACTATTGAGGGATGGCCCGTTATAGTGCCGGTTGGGCGCCGCTGTGCCCCCCAATAGTGCCGGTTCACTACCTGCTGTAGACACACACACACACTACCGGTCGCCCCGGCGGTCTAGTTGGTAGTATCCACGTTAACCTTCTAAGTTTCAGGTCATGGGTCCGAGCCCCGGCGATTTGTTTTTTTTTCTTACTTTCGTTCCTGAAAGAATTGGAAGCAATTTCTCCTGAATTCGTTCGTAAATGATGCCTTGGAGCATCAACTTCACTGTTGACGAGGGTGGGAGTACTGAACCCTCTCGCGATAAAAACAATCATAGGCATGTACCGCAGAAGGGGGTCCAGCCCCCCCCTCCTGTGTGACCCCGGTTGGGTCGTCTAGCTAGTCGTAGTGGAGGATGTGGGCCAGTGGGGCAGACGACAGAAACAATAATGGGAGAACAAAACAAACACACACATGTGTGGAGCTATGGCAGTGTATGTGTTGCTATTTTGTTTGAGTCATCTAGCTGCTGACACGATGACTGTTGGATCTTGGGAGTGTACGATTATCAAATTGGGAGATGCAGCATACCACGATATCCTGGTTTCGGCTGGGCTTGAATTAACCCTTTTGCTGTCCTCCGCTCTTTGCATCAGTGGCTTCCTAGGTTCGGGCGAGGGCATTTGTGTAGCTGAGATGTATGTCTACATGAAATATATATAATATGTAGAGAGAGTCGTATTAGCATTCGCATTTAGCGCATTGCGCATTTTTCGAATTTTGGCCCCCTTCCAGGGACCTTGATTTGTACCCGCTGGCACTGACGTCTTTTCATTGGTCAGCCGGTTAGCGCGGTCGACGTTAACAATAAAAACACACACACACCACGACACACCAGAGAGGACAGACGCCACACCGAAAAGAGTGTACACCAGCTGCTGCAGACCATAAGAGCTCTACGCAGAGGCGCACCATGCCTTGTGCGGAAGGTGAACTGTGCCTTCAACAGGACAGAACGCCGCAAGACCCTCATGGCCACGTCTGCCAGGGAGGATGTGGCGGGCGGCTCCACGGCAATTGCGGCATGCAGACATGAGAGAATTTGTTGCTGCTACGGAGTAAGGGTGGGGTACAGCTGTTGTAGCAATGGTTGTTTGCTTTTCTTCCGGTGCGCTTCCTGTCGTGCTTTTCTTTGTTTTTGTTTCTTCTTGTCACATCCAAGAGTTGCTGCTACGTCGCGAGGGCGGGGAGAACAGCTGTGGTGGAGTATGTAATGGCCATTTATTTTCCGTGCGGTGCGCTTCCTGTCGTGCTTGTGTTCTTGGGGTTGTTTTGATTTTTTCTTCCGACATCCAAGGGGGTGCGCCAGGCAGACATGAAAGAGTTGCTGCTACGTTGCGAGGGCGGGGAGAACAGCTGTGGTAGAGTGTGTAATGGTCGTTCATTTTTCGTGCGGTGCGCTCCCTGTCGTGGTTCTCTGTTGTCTTTTTTTATCTGGCAACATCGAAGGAGGGCAACGAGGACTTAGACGTCCACTAATAATACACATATTCGATCCACGATCCACATCGTACTCTGTTGGCCCCGCAAAGCTTGAGCGCTGCACCATGAAATCAACACCTACTCAGTAGTGCCGGTCCGGCACTACTCAGGGATATTCGAAGCCTCAATAGTGCCGTACCGACACTACTGATGCACTATTCTGAATACTGCCGGTGCCCGGTATAGTGCCGCTTTTTTTCTCTGGACACTACCCGGCACTATAGAGGGCCCACTACTGTATGATACTTCGAACGTATTCGCACGGGCAAGAATCAAAATATCTTGAACAAGTTATATTGTATACTTCTATCATACGTATATTATATGATGCTGAATACGTATTTAGTAACCAAATACGTATTTAGTGCTCTTGATTGCCCGTGCGAATCCGTACGAAGTATGTATCAGGTGCTACACCTTTCTGTTCCCTCTTTGGTCCATCGGTCGGTGGTTTCGTGACGAGGGCGTCGCCCTCATCATCATTGTTTTCAGTGAGATCAGCATTATTATTGTGCTATTTCGTGTGTGTCATTTCGCTCATCATCGCTATTGTTGTTGTTGTTATTGATGGACTCGTCGTCTTCACACCAAAAACCAATCCGGTCTCCGCTCAGTACCTCCTGATGTCGGCACTGGTCCTGCTGAAGCTGACGCCTTCCACTGTCACAAACCAATTACACCCATTTTCCGTGAGAATCGCATTCAACAAATTTTCTTTGCCCGTGTAAATATTTGATTCTTGCCCATGCGAATACGTACGAGGTATGTATTAATGTACGCATTTCTGCTCCGCCTTTGTTCCATCTGTGGTTTTGTGTAGAGAGGAAGACGAGTGCGTCATCCTCTCAATTTTCGGGGAGGTTAGCATAATTGTGCTGTATTGTGCGTGTCATCTCGCTCATCACTACACTCAATTTTCGGTGACTTTAGCGCTACTATGCTGTTTTGTGTACACTAACCGGTGCACTGTTTTTTTGGGCAGCGCCACGTCTGTCTGCGGGAAATAAATCGACCACATCATATTTAAGAGCTTCCCACTTGGTATGCGTTTTACGTCTCTCATTAACTCCGCGTCCACCCTACACGGAGAAGCGGCGGAGTGAACGAAGGACGCGGGGGGCGGCCGCCCCCACCGTCCGGAGCCGTTCCATATACTTATCATACCCGTCCCCCCCTGATAGGAGGTATACCCAACACTAACCTGTTGGCCCGCACGTCGATCATTTCTTGCGGCGCGTGCTCAGGACAGAACTCTGCCTTCTTTGTCGAGGCCATGCCGAATGAGGGCAGAGTCGTGCATCCCTGGTGAGCGCAGGGCCTGGTGGAAACGTCCACCATACCGGCAGTAGCGTGACGCTGGCAGAACTGCACGGTGGTGGAGCCAACCTCGCCGTGGGTCGGTACCTTGGTGCAGCCTCGGAGCCCGCACCTCTTGCTGCGGACGTCGACCATCGTATCCGGCGCGTGCTCCGCACAGAACTCTGGCCGCTTCGTCCCGGGCTCGCCGTACGACGACCTCGTCTCGCACCCCTGCCGCGCGCACCGCTTGTTGCGGACGTCTATCATTCCGGCCTGCGTGTGTTGCGAGCAGAACTCCGCCTTGCATCCGGGGATCCCGAACGTCGGCCGTTTCTTGCAGCCTTCGGTTTCGCACCTTGGAGCCAGCACGTTCACCATGCCTCCCAGTCTGTGTTGTGCGCAGAACTGGGCCCGCTTGGTGCCGTCGACCTGTGTGGGCAGCGTGTGTACAGGACGAAGCACGCGCGGTGGGGGGAGGGAGCGGGTCGAGAGCGTCGGAGCATGCCATTTTTTGGGGGGGGGGTTAGTATATAGAGGTATACGCATATGTATCATCGACTTTTCTGGCTTTTCTGCTGGTTGTGTTCGTTATTCTCTAGTGCAGCAAAGACGCCGCTAGCCCAAAAGCACATGCTACATTTCGTGGTAATAGTTCCGCCGCACGAGCATTCCCACGGTGAGGCTACTGCAGTCTGCGGTACCCCGCTGCCAGGAGGTAGAGACTTGCCTTCTCGCTCCTACTCCCAAGTACGCCCTGACTTGGACTAAATCAGAGAAGTAAACTAAATCAGAGAAGTAAGACCATAACAAGAACCACCAAGGAGGCCTTTGCTCAGACACTTCACCAGCTGCAGCAGCTGGTACTATTTAACATCTTTACTGCTCATCGAACTCGGTCCTATCGTGCATTCGCTTGAAGGACAAGGCTGTAGTTGTCTATAATTCCCCGGCCTTTTGACCCCTATCGGTGGCTCCCAAGGTGAGAGCTACAGGCATGCATGATCGACCATGGTCATGGACAACCATAGCACCGTATGCCAATACCATAGTCGCACGATCTGTCTCACAAACACTCGCGCACAAGCGAAAAGTCACGGCGGGAGAAAACAAAAAAAAACGGACATGATGCAAATTCCACGCAAATTATGCGGGTTGCACGCAAACCGGCACTGCCGAACGTCATGACGTTGAGATGCAACCATGCGACCGCGACGGCATTGATTTGGCCATGTCCTCTTGCGTCGCCCCCGGGATGCAAATCACCTAACGCCCGCAGGGGAACCTCGGAGACTACATATATTGTTTGTCTTCACTTCAAATCAGCGCTCACAGCGCTTGTGCCGTTTACTCCAACCCGTGGTCACACAGAAGGGCTCCTCTCCCTGAGGCCCCCTACACCCCTCCTGCGGTACTTCATCTTCTCGATTTTTAATGCTAGAAGAGTGCAGCACTCTCTTCCCTCTGTGTACACATGCCATGGTTGTTGAATATGGGTGTCGACTTCGCCTGCACCTGACTTTATCTGCGTATACCACTATCTTTCTTTTTTTTTTCATCCCGTCTGTTTCGGTCGCTCGCAGCTTGTCACCTGCCCTGCGGCCTTGCCTCTGTCAACTCAAAGAGCTCCGACCCGCGGTCACACCAAGGCGGCTCCGCGGCGAGCAATTTGCAGTATATGTTCCTCTAGAGTGTACACAAGAGGTTACAGGACAAGCGATGATCGTGGATCATCGGTAGTGGAAGCTCATGTTGCCGTACCCCAAAGCGTACAGCACAGCACTGGTGCGTTCTACAACAGGGCAACGGACGACAGGCATGCCGATATAGTGTTGTCCACAGCAGCAGTAGAGAGGCTGCATCTGCTGCGGGGGGGGGGGTCGAGTTGCGAGATGCGGCACGTCATTCATGTTTCAAAATCTCCTTGCAGAAACAGTCCGACAGAAACAAAGAAGGCTACCTGTAGCGTATGAATCGATTGCACACGTCCAACTCCTGTTGTCCTGGACGTGCAAAAGAGTAAAGACTGATGAAGAGCACAACGAGTACCAGCGGGTGCGCAGAAGGGAACGTATCTTAGACACCAAGGTGTACATGCGACGACCAGGACGGCGGTCTTGGCGAAGTAAACATGGAAGTGTACCCGACGGGCACAACCCAAAGTACGACCCTGTTACTCACTCCGTAGTGGGCCCGCTTGGGGCAAAACTCGTGGTCGCACTCCTTGCCCATCCTATGTCCTTTCTCTTGCACGTTGGCGATGAACTGCAGTGAAACCTGACAAGGCGGCAGGGCAGGTCTCTCAGCGCCTGATGTTGGTTGGTTGACTTGACTTTTGGTCATAGGAGGTGCCGTGACTGAAAACAAAACCATCATAGGTACGTATTAGTGCGGTTCAGACCCATCTGTCGGCCTCCCCAGCCTTGGCGGCAAAGTGGCTCTGTCAGCCTGTTCGCTGTGCTCTACAATAGATCAACCGCACTTTGACTTGTAGGGGGTGTTACTGCCGAGAGTGACGAGGGAGGACATGCCGTCTAAGTGCGCCTCTCCGGGCTGCCCCACGAATCCATCATTTGGCCTGAACGATGGTAAGAGGAAGGTGCTGTTCTGCCGTGGACATGCCAAGGAGGGCATGATCAACGTCCGAGACCGGACGTGCTGCCACCCAGGAGGTTGTCCCACGAGGCCGTCTTACGCGGAGGCCGGGTCGAAAAAGCCGGAGTTCTGTGTCCTTCACGCTCCGAAGGGGACGGTGGACGTTCTCAGCAGGAGGTGCGCTCGGAAGGGCTGCTTGGTCAGCCCGTCGTTCGGAGCCAAGGGCACGAAAAAAGTCGAGTTCTGCCAGGAGCATGCGAAGGACGGCATGGTCAACGTCCGCATCAAGCAGTGCGAGCAGCAAGGGTGCACCACGATGCCAACGTACGGCAAGGACGGCAGCAAGAGACCGCAGTACTGCCACCGGCACGCCACGGGGGAGATGATCAACCTACACAGCAAGAGATGCAGCCACCCAGGTTGTACCAAGCAGCCGTCGTACGGGGTCGACGGCACCAACAAGGCGGAGCTGTGCGCGGAGCATGGCAAGCCTGGGATGGTGAACGTCCGCATGAAGCGATGCTCGTACCGCTCCTGCACCAGACAGCCTTCGTACAGCATGGATGGCAGCACAACGCCCGAGTTTTGTAGCCGGCACGCTACGGACGGGATGATAGACGTCCGCAGCAAGAAGTGCCGCCACGCGGGCTGCGTGAAGGTGGCCTCCTACGGCGAGGCCCACACCGGCTCCAGGGAGTTCTGCGGGGCCCACGCGACAGAGGGCATGGTGGCTCTGGCTGTGAGACAGCGCCGCAGTGAGAACGGGCATGCTCGCGGGCCTAGGCGTGGCTCTGCCTCTGCTTCTGCTGCTGCTGCTGCTGCTTCTGCTGCTGTTGCCGCTACTGCTGCTGTTGCCGCTACTGCTGATGTTTCTGCTGATGTTACTGCTGCTACCGGTGCCGCGGATTCGGATGGCGGGAAGCGGAAGGGGCGTGCTCTGCCGCTGTCCGCAGCTGAGGAGTCCTCTGGCGACGGTATCATCGAAGCGATGAACAAACGAACTCGCCAGATCCTAGGCACCGTCGCGGTCCCGCCGGTAGCTGCCGTGATATCGCCCGTGCCACCTGCAGGGGTACCCCAAGACCCCGAGCAAGAAGGGGCAGCGGCCGCCGCCACCGCCGCCGCCGCCCCTTCGCAAACTTTGGCCGCGGATGGCGAGGTTGGTAGCCTTGAGGACGAAGCCCCAGCAGCACCAGAAGCCACAGCCCTGGCACCAATGCCAACACCAGACGAACCGGCAACGGCAATAGCAGCGGCAGCAGCACCAGAGCCAGCGGCAGCAGCAACAGAACCAGCGGCAGCTGCACCAGAACCAGCGGCAGTAGCACCAGAACCAGCGGCACCGGAACCAAGAGTCCAGGGCGGCGGCGGTGGTGCTGGTGACGCCGCCGCATTTGAAGCGGCGCCCGATTCAGACGGCACGGAGAGCGACATCGATGTCTGCGGGCCCGGACGTCGAAGGCCGGGCGACGAGAGCGACGACGACATTTTCGGTCTCAACCGGCGAGGGGCAGCAGGCCTGGGCGGGAGCGACTACATTGTTCAACCCGAAGGGCACGTGAGGGTTTGAGTTCAAGACTACGTGAGTGTATCGACTGCTGCTGCTGCTGCTACTGCTGCTGCTGCCTCAGAGTGTAGAGCAGTCGTTGCGCTGCCAGGCCAATGCGTGGTGCTGAAGTAAAGGTGTACCTTTGATGCAAGGGTCTGTCGTTTCTTGCTTTCAGCTGTGTCAGCCGCCGTGGTCATGTTTCCGTGGCGAAGGGTACACAGGGCGGGGTGAGTCTTATGCTTCTGGTTGATTGTGTCTTGTAGAGTATGTTGAGTCCCTAGACGCTGCAGTAGGCTCCCAACCATCGCACCAGTACCGTTGTTTTTTTTTCGTAGAAACACAACATATTCATCTCTTCCACAGATAAGAGTCCGGAATAGGTTGATCGATCAATTAAATCATACGATAAGAAACAACACATTCGCATCTCTTCCACACATAAGAGTCCGGAATAGGTTGAGCGATCAATTAAATCTAACAGTAGCTTTGTGGGTGCTTGCTATTTTCATCGGGCACAACGTAACTTGAAACGATTGCCCTTTTGGTATTTCATCCCCCACAATTTCTCCGCGGTGCGTGCTGCTGCCGCTGCCTCTGCTGTTGCTCGCGTTGTTCCAATACCGCTGCCGCCTTGCTTTGTGTTGTGATCTCACCGTCTGTCTCCCCTCCTTCTTTTTACCATGTGCCGCGCACCGACCTCTTGCTTCATGATCTTCTTCCCGCAGGACCACCACCGAATTGCAGGCCTATTGCCTGGGAGGGCGGGGCGTGTGTGTGTGCAAGACGCGTGCGTACTAGCGGGGAGAAGCCAATATCCGCTTTTTGGGGGAGGGGGAGAACTCACCAGACACATATTTTTTTAAAGGACGGGCACGTCTCATGGCTGTGACCCTAGAGGCAAAGAAGCTCGAGTTTTCCCTCTTGAGCTCGCCAGGGTGTGCGCAAATCGACCATGTTTGTCTTTCGAGTATTATTGTTGTTCGTGATGGCGTTGCCGCCGGTGTCGTGTCTACAGCAGCACGGGTGCTCACCAGGTAGCTGTGGTTGCCATAGCAGTGTTTGTATTTTTGTTTACACGGTGGGAAGGCTGGGCAATGCTGGCCTAAAAGAGGCCCCAGCCAGGGTTGTACAGCAGCGGAAGTAGCCACGACGAGAGCACAGCCTCGGCGATAACAAACGGCGCGCTGTCGCGCCGCATGAATTATCAGTGTTTGTTCAGGCCGCGGCGCATGGTTGCCTGCCTCTTGTATGTAGTTGTTCCTTAGATGGTGGGGTTTCCCAAATATTTCAGGGGAAATCATCGCCCTGGCATCATGTTTCCATGAGGCCGGCGGTTTGTGTTTTGAGAGTGCTAGATTGTTGGTGCTGTTGCTGTTTGTCTTGGCATTAGTAAGAATGGTTCCTACCTCTGCTCAGAATCTTCTGGCATCCGTGCTGGGTGCAACCTCTGACGCGGACACCTTCCGTGATCACAAGCTATTCAGTAGTTTCACTGCCGTACATCATAAATCGTCGAAGGGAAAAGATCCTGTACCCAGCACAATCCACACAAGCTTCGTGAGAGAACGTGGGAGTTCGGAACAAGCTGTGCTCTTTTTGGCTAGAGTTTCAAAAAACAATTGAAAGTTCGAAGGATGTCGCCCGTGCTCCTATTGGGTGTATCTCCGTCAGGCACGAGCGAACTCACGTAAAGACGACTGCTTCGCAAGTGACGTAGTCGCCGTCCCTCTTGCCGGACCTACGGATGATTTTCGCCTGTACATGCAGCAGGGTGAGTGCGTGCTTGCGCTCTAAAAAGGCAACGCACAGCAGATGCATGGCCAATCGGTAAAAATGCCAGGCGGGTGTTGTGGTGTTCCCGCATCGTTGTCGTTGAAAGGAATCTTCGTAAGCGTCGAATGCACAAGAGCAGGGCCGATCCCGCAATGCAGCTGTTAGCAGCAGCAGCAGCAGCAATTTGGTTGACGACCAACGGGGAGGTCCGTGATGTCTGTGTTGCCAAAGGTCGGATTCTCTAGCGGGGGGAGGGGGGGAGTCCGCGTTGTGTGTGTGTCTCGTGCTGCTGCGTGCCCTTTGAAGAACACACTATTAACACCTATGCACTTCGTATATTGTATATTCGGTACGGAAGTTGTTGCCACGACGGTTCGCAACGCCCATCGTCGTCGTTTTCCATGGCGCGGCCTGCTCTTCGCAGTGCCAAAAAAATTGCGTCCGAAGCGTACCTCCCATGTCTCAGAATCGTCGTATTCGTCCCCCCTCTTAACGAGAACACGAATCGGGTGAGGACATTGATTGCTAGCCATGAAACGTTGACGTGGCTCCTCGCCCACATCACCCCTCAACGCCGCGACGAAAGTGCCAAAAAGTCCTTGACCATTGAACTAAATTGCCCCTTATTCGTCCTTCCAACAAGAACCGCCCCCCATGCCTCTCGCCCTAGATCACACGCGTGTGCCCCCCCCCCTCCCTGCATTACGTGAGCTCAACCTCTTGAGTGCTCGGGTTCACTCACGTCATACCGCTCGCGCAATTTCAAACTCTACGACTCCAGTAGATGTGCATGGAGCTTGCCGGCGAGATCGCACCAACCCCTTGCTTGAAGTTATTCTTGCCAGAATCCCGCACGACTACTCCTTGTCAACCACCAGACTCGACTCCAACCCCGCTCTCGCCCCCTGGCGGCACATCCCCCCCCCCCGCGGCAAAGATACTGGCGCTAATTGTAGAAGCGCTTGACAAGGAAGTGCCTTTGGCCGCCATCCATTGCCGTCACCATCGCTAGAGTATTTCTGTCACAACGAGCACAGCAGGTAAACTTATATCCACACAAAGATGGTACTCCCTCCGTACCCGGTGCTTCAAAATGTCACACACACTCACTCACGCACAGCGTCTCCCCCACGGGGTCCCAGATCATGGCGCCATTACAGGCACCTTGTGTTTTCAACCGCGCTGAGACTGGCGTTTATTCATTGGTTAGCGCGGTCGATGCAAATAACACAAAAAAAAAACACGCGCTACGGCCATCAACGAATATACACATACAACACCCCGCGGGACGCCGAGGGGTTCAGTAGTCACCGTCGTCGTCGTCGTCGTCGTCATCTGAACCCCTTCTCCCGGCGCTCTTAACCCCCCTCCGCATCTTGATGCTGTTGGCCCCCCTCCCCTTCGCCCGAGCGGGGTTCTCGTCCATCTCCGTCTCCACGATGCCCTGGGACGCCAGGTACCACTCGAGGTCGTCCGCCTTCATCTATTACATCGTGTGTGCGCGCGCAAGCGTATGAGTGCATGAACACACGGGCATGCGTATCGTTTGCCCCCCCTTTCTTTTTGAATGGTAACGCAAACCCGATATACACATGGGGAGGGAAGCCAAGAGATGGGGAAAGAGACAAAATATGGCACGTCCGAGCTTTGGCGACCGTGCCCGCACCATCAGCGGAGCCGGTGCTTCCATATTTCGGCCCGTTTTGCCAAGACGCGGGCGACGTGGAACGGAAAAACGTCCAGAATGAGACTGGAAAGGAAACCCCACCAAAACAAGAACGCGTAACTTTGCAGGGGGGTACAAAAAAACGCTCCGAGGAACCCTGAAAACCAAACGTTCTTGAGCCCACCTTTCGCTGCTCTACTGTTTTCGGGCTAAATACAATGCCACAGTAAAGTGGGTAGGAGTGAAGCAAAAACAAAAAAAAACACCGCCTGCAATGGTTCGCGGAGACACGCGGGGTAAAACACACAAGCAAAGAAGATGCAGCAAAGAACTGTTTCTTTCGCCGGAAATAACGCGCCATGTTAAAGACGCACCTGCTTTCCCCCCAAAGCGTCAATCCTGATAAGCTGCTTAGCCAGCTCTCCGTCGCGGTATCTGTCCAGAAAACAAACATAACGGAAAGGGGGCAATGCACATGATGATTACTCGTTATCCTTCGTCAGAGAATAACGGTAAGCTCGAACTTGATTTGAATGAAAAAATCCGGACGCACACCGACAACAACAAGACGCCGGGCCGCCAAAACAGCATGGTGGCAAAGGAGGTCAAGAATATTGCCACTTGTTTGAGCACAACTGGCGGCACATGGGGCACGCAAGCATCAGGAACACAAGCCAAGGTAGGCTCCGAGCTTTGGAAAGGAACGCAGTGAGGCTCTGGTGCATCTGACCCTTGACCAGGACAGGACGCTAGCAGGTAGTTCTGACCGATAAACCGTTTCACACATACACCTCAGGTGCGGCACCCCTGTTTCGAAACATCCTATCGACGGACGCACCCCAACTAATACAAGCCCAGTACCAAAGGTGGCGGGTGCTCCACTACTGAGTCGCGCATTGCTCGTATCCGTCGGTCCCGCTCTTTCCTCTGGGGGTGCCGTTGTGGCGGGTGCACATCAGATATGCTTCTTTATTCAGGAGGGCAAACCAAACGCCTGTTATTTGTGTTTTTTTGCTCTGTGGCATCTTCACGTGGGCTAGCACGGACAACACTACCAGGACAACAACGCATCACCCGCAACACCCGCAAAGACGCCGCCACTGCAACACCCCGGCCAAGACCAACGCCAGGAGCAACAAACGAAAAGAGACGCACATGAAAAGCGTGGGGAGGTTTGCTTCGGGCCAGTTCTCCACCGCTTGCTGGCTCCTGATCTTGACGAACTTCACTTCTCGGAACTTGCTCGCGATCGACCTCAGGGCAGCCTGACGTGTCGTCGGCGTACGGGAGGGAAAGTAGGTGTGTTACAGCAATCATCGGGTGGTGACATGGTACGTACTGGCAAGCGATGAAGACCACGTAAATTTGCATACACACGGAGCTGTTCGTGCGTGATCGACTCGTCGTGGAGTGTCGTCGGAGTTCCGTTCGCGTGAACACACTAGTAGCCTGCGTCCGTTTCGCTACATAGTTCGCCTTTGGTGCTCTGGTTTTGTCTCGTACAGAGCTCGCAGATTCTAAGCACCTGGTACGTTACGGTGTTGGCCATGGGCGATCGGTGCGTTATCGGAGGATAGTGCTCACGCTTGGTGGGGCCACAAAACGTTTGGGTTGACCTTGTGAGTACCACCACGACCGGCGGAAGTTGGCTACGACATGCGAAACACCAGCAACCGGTGCTGCCTGCTCAATTAGCATCTGTTCGCAATACAACTACGGTGGGGGTCCCCGAAAAAGGCGGTCTGAGTAAGGCGGTCGCCATGTACAAGGCGGGTGAATCGGCCAGCGTAGACGGAATAATCAAGCTGTTCCGCACATAGAATTAAGGCGACTGCCCCATTTAAGGCGGGCATTCTCAGCTGCACCACCACCGCCATATTCGGGGTGACGCAAGCGTACCTCCATGACCCTGCACTCCACAATGCCGTCCTCGTACAGGTGCGCCACCACGCACACGCTCTTGCTGGCGTCCGTCACCTCCCGAACCCAGTCCGCCTTGGAGATCTCGAACAACTCCCCGAACTTCGCCGCCGCCGCCTTCGCCTTCATCTCCGCCACACGCTGCGCCCTGAATTCATGTTTCGAGGACCGTAATATTTGCTTGATATTTCGCGTGTCTTGGTGGGGGAGTGTACTTAATGTCACAGTATTCGATTTTTTGTATTCTGTCTAGATGATTTCGCACGACGTTTCAACCACGCTACAGTATGAAGACTTGGTTGCGGTTGGCCGATTCGTCAACGCATACTGCGACGCTTCGTTTTCAGTTTTTTGTCGCCAAAGGGTCACAACGTTTGTGACGCTTTGCAAACGCCTTGGAGCAGCTCTGACACGATCAAACGACATGCAGGAATCAACTGCAAAGAAGGGGGGGCAGGCGTGGCATGCACCATTGTCATTGCCAAACAAAAACAAGTACACGAACGAACACAGTAAACACGACACCAACAACAACAACGGTAACAACAACAACAATAAAATAAAAAAGATTATGACTGAGGACCACCGAAAAACAAGGATATTAACGAGAACAATAAACACAACACCGCCACCACCACCAATAACGACGACGACAACACCACAGGAACGTGAGTTTCCCTCGCCTCACCGGTACTTCTCCAGCATGCCATCGTCCGCCAGCTCGTCCTCCAGCTCGTCCAGTTCCTCCAGGCTGGCTTCGGCCATGTCGTCCTCGATCGTACGGGCGTTTAGCCGCTCTACCTCTGCCTCCCTGGCCTTGCCCTGGGTTTACACGCATTGGTCGTTAGCTACGTATGTGTCTGTGCAATGGAAGCACTTTCAAAAGTGTTGCCCTTGCGAACCTCTGCCTCCCTCGCCTTTGTGTGTGCGGGCATGACGAAACGAGACTGAACACCTCCGGCAGCAGCAGCAGCAATACCACCAACTAAAGTAGCCGAAGCAGCAGCAAAAACAACAACAACAACAACAACGGGTATCAACAACGAAAACCACTGATAGCACCACCGCCGTCCCGCCGAAAGCAAAGAGGGACCGGAGGGACCCACTCACAATGGCCTCTTCCAAACGCTGCTCGTCGGGGTCGAAGCCCTTGCCTCGCAGCACGTCATCCTTCTCGACGATGCCCTTCTTAATCAAGATGTCCTGTCCGGTCAGAGAGAAATATCAGTGGCACGGGCAATGTCCTCGTGAAAGTACTCAGCAGGCGTGACACGACGTGAAATAGAAACGCCCTACAAGCCCAGCAAGAGAAGAAACGGGAGCGAGACACGTACATGTACTGCTGTGTGTAGGTGCCAACATGCGCACGGAGTACCATGGGACAAAGGTGCACAATTTCATGTGTACGGAGTACCCTTTTTGTCACCCTCGAGATCCCTTGGACCGCTGTATTTCAACGCCGACGTGAGTTTGTGTGCCCGCTTCCTCTACCGACTGCTGCCGGTGTTGTACAAGGGAGGGAGGGATGTAAAATGGGGCTTAGCAGTATAGCAATTGTAGTCTACAATATTGTTCCGCCTTTGCCGCCGGCTTTCGACCCCTTGACAGCCTCGTGCCGACGACGGAACAGAAAAATTAAAACTAGACTATGTACGTAATGCTATGCGAACTAGACGCTACACGTCCATATAGCATCCGAAGCGTGGCTGCAAGAAGCAAGGCCAACGGCCGCATGCTGTGCCGATCATCACAAGCCACGCAGGTATCCCCCTCGTCGGTATGGACAGCAGTGGTGCCGCTTGGACAAACCAAAGGTGGCTGCTGCTGTACTGCGTGGAACGAGCTTTCCCAACCCAGTGCGAGGAGAAAACAAAGACTGCTGTGCCAATGCCGTGAGGGGGTCACCACCACGGAGAATAGCCAAAGGCACGCGGACAATAAGCACTTGAGACAGCGAGCGCCGGGAGAGCGGGAGAGCACAAGAGAGAACAAAACAACAGAGCCGGCGTGAAATGCGGTGTGACGTCGCTACCACCTCCGCCCGCTCCCAATCAGCAAGTGACACCAACACACGAACCCACCTCCCATTCTGTAGTCTCGCCCTTGGACTGATACTGCACCGACCCACGCTCTGCCATGGTTCACCGATGCTATACTAGTGGGAGAGTCTGTGGCGCGAGAACGAGAGTTGCTGTTGCTGCGGCTCGCGAAGCTGCTCGTGGAGAAAGCTGACAGTGCCATAGACACGCCTGCGCGCCGTACCCGGGGTACGGGGTTGTGACGGGGCCCAGAAGAAATTTCTTCGATGACCGTTCTTACGTTTTTTCCAAAAGATGACCATTCTTTTTCCCGCCAAAACTATGTGTGTCAAGTAGCAAGAGGTTCCCGCCATTTTTTGCGGTTTGGCGCCAATTTTTGTCCCTGCCTACGTCTCGCTCTATGCGCCACAACCCTTGATCACTCATTCCCGAGACACATCTCACATCTACAACCACCACCACCAGCAAACAAGGGAGCGAGAGTGCGCAACAAACAGCAGCACACCCCCAACCCTACACACACAAGCGCGCGCGCCCTGCAAGAGCAAGAGAAAGAGAGAGAGAGAGAGATGACGTCCTGGTTCACCAACGGCTGGCTGCGGCTCGGTTCCAAGAAGCGGGGGCAGCAGCTGGGTAGCAAAGATGAAAATGACAAGGAGAACGAGGGATGGTATCCCACCAACAAGAAAGGTGCGTTGTGTGTGTTGGCCGCACGTTCGTGCTTTGCGCGTGAGCTGCGATTAGTGGGGCAAAAGGAGCACTCGGGAAGGGCGAGGGGGGGGGGTTGGCCTAGCTGCTTCGTTCGGTGGACCTCGTCGCCTACTGTCCTCCTTTTTTTCCCCCCGTGCATGGTCCGTAGTCCACAGATAAATCTCCATAATGGGGGTCTAGGTTACGACGCCGAGAAAAGTGCCCGTGAGGTTGCTTGTTGTGTAGCGCGGGAGGAGAGCCCGCACACACACCTCACTCGCGCCTTCCCGTTGCCCTCAGAGCAAAATCGAGATGAAGGGAGCAAAGTCCGCAACCCCCACCGTTGTCGCCCTCCCGCACTGCAAAGGCGAGCGGGATCTGGCACGCCTCCGCTTCTGTGTTGAGTTGATGCTTTTTTTTCCGAGATCCCGGACACATCATTGTTCTTGTGCGAAAAAATCACTTTTTTCTTGTGAGGCAGCGAGCTCTTTATCCCTCGCTGTGTGTGTCGCTTAACTGGGTGCCTCTCCCCGCCCCTGCAAATATGCTCCGCGCTTCTTCCTCCCCCCTCCGCCGCGCGCGCCCACAGCCAAGAAGACGGTCAAGTCGGCCTTCGCAGGAGCAAAGCCGTCCAACCAGGGCTCGTGGCTGCTCTGCCAGGACAGGGAAGGGAGGATGTACTGGTGAGACCAGGGGTAGACAGAGAACGTCAGCAAAGGCTCTGTTTGCTTCGGAAAAAAAACACGCTCTTGCTTTTGTTGTTTGGGTTGAAGTTTGGTTACACAGCACGTGCACGATCCCAAATACACTGGTGGGCGTTTTAACCTATTTTTTTGGCGAGCGCGCCCGCTCGAGGGTGACACCGTTTGGCGCGGGCCGGGGGACAGCCGGTGAGAGGGGGCGGTCGATCTGCTGCTGGACCTGCGAATTCGGGCTCGTATTCGTACAGGAGATTGTTGCGGAGCCGAATTTCTTTCTCGCACGTAAAATGCGCAAGGAGACACACATAAAGGAATGGATCCCTACCGAAAAGATTAGCCGCCCAAGTTCCCGGGAGGTTGCGCATGAACGCGCGCACACCATGCCCTCGTGGCCACCCCTTGTCTACACCGCCCATACGCACCTTTGCGTACCTCACCTAACTGCTGTTGCTCATGGGAAGAGCGGTCGTTTCGAATCCGATTTAAAGATGACCAATACTGACTACCGGCGCCCGCCCTACCTGTAGCGTGGACGTCGGAACTATGTACAGCTCAGCGGGGGCAAGTAATACACGAAAATATCGATGAGATAGCAAAAGGCACACACGTTGTTTTGCATTGTTTTCGGGATGTTTGTTGTGGTGATTCATTCCGAGGTTTTGCGACGTCGCTGGAGTGACCAAATTTCGTTGCTGCCCACCACGCCGCCACCACGGGCTCCCGCCCTTGAGCCGTTTTTCCTACGATTGAGGAAGTTGACCGCCGCCCCCGCCGTCGACAGACAATCTTTTCCCGCCAAAACCTGGCGCTCGTGCTGCCGCTGGTGCGAGGGGGGCGGTGTTTCCGACCACCACGACCGACGACACGTTTATTTTTTTCTCGTAGCAAACAATCGAACACCTCTCTTATCCCTGCTGTGTTTGTAGATGTATGTGGTATGGTATGTTACAGATCAAAAGAGATGCATGCTACGGACTATAACAACGATGATTCCGTCCACCCAACACACATGGGGAGAAGAAAGAAGACGTGTCCATTCTTTTTTTCTGTCTGGTTAGGACGTAGGGGTATCCAACCCCGAGAGTCAACCTTTGTGTGGCGTGGAACATTCGAGATTCCGCAGTAAAGTAGTCGACACGTTGGCTTCACCATTGCGCTGCCTTTTCGCTCCCCGTCAACGTCACACAGAAATTGCGAACCCTTATTCATAAACCATGTCGACGGCGGCGGCGGATAAACAACCACAGCAGTAGTAAGGATTGCAGCGTGCGTACGTGGTTGAAAAACGGTTCCCACCGCAGCAAAAAGTGGTTGGTTTGAGTTCGCGTCCCTTTGATGTAGCACAGAGAGAAAGAGGCCCTGTCACCTCTGCGTGCAATGCACGCAGCAGAGAGAAGCAAGGGTACATGCGACCGACCGACCAATGCCGACGAGAAGAAACTGTGGTGGGCGCCAACAGCTAGCGGCCAAAACGAAGAGTCTTGAAAAATGTGTGTCTTGAATATTATCACGCGTGGGACCTCTTTCATCTACTGCAGCTTGTTACGCAGGCTGCGCTTGTTGATTTTTCGATACATATATCTGGATGAAACGCCCCCCCCCCTACATGCATAAGAGAGGCCGCCTTTTCCCGGAGCTCATGACTTGCGCTCACCGCGCGCTTCGTTAGTTGCTGGTGCGGTCGCGCTTGATGTTCTCTCTTGTTCTCCGAAAGATATCTAGGTTAAAGCTAACACGATAAATCCGTTCGCATGGAGAGAGCGATAGACTCTTGCACGACTGTTGCAAGAATAAGAATCCGTGAAATTCTTTTCCGCCTGCCGTCGCTAACGACACTGCCATAGTAGATTCATAGTACTTGTACCTTTTTTTTTGGCGTCGCAGCCGGCAAGTGAGTCTCAGACAATCACATCATCAATGTTGCATCGTCTTTGGTATATTCTGAATCTCCCCCATCTCCGGTCCGTTTTGGAAAATGCATGTATGCATAGCATCACGTAAAGACTACCCGTTCGTGATGCACGGGTTGGTTTACTACTCGCTACCGCGCGGTTGACACAGACTTCTTCCGTTTTTGCGCGTAAAGACTGGCGGAAGCTGCGACTGACTGTACGTGCTGTCGATGCCAAGTACAGGTACAAAAATAAAGGCACGCACACAGACCTCCCTTCTCATTGGTCACATGCATAGTTACTTCATCTTAAGATGTTAAATCGATTCCAAACAACAAAGAATCACGCACACACACACACACACACGAAAAAGCAACCGCCGCTTGCTGATGTTGAATCGGACGCTCCAAATACCCCGTGATCGAAGATAAACATTCACCACGAGGTTTTTTTTTATCCTGACCGCCATCCCCCGCCCCCCCCCCTCCCCCGTCCTCGGCCGTTACACACACCCCGACGTCATCTTCAACCAATCAAACCGCAGGTGGAACGACGTGACCGGACAGTGGACCTACCAGCTCTACAGCTCCGCCCAGCAGCAGCAGCAGCAGGGGCAGGGTTACCTCCAGCAGCAGCAGCAACAGCACCTCCTGCAGCAGCAGCAAAACCAGCAGATGATGCCTCAGATGCACCACCAGATGTCCTACCCCCAGCAGCAGCACTCGGCCGCTCACCTCTACAACACCAGCAGTCACAGCCTCACCCGCAGCGCGAGCATGTCGGCCCTCGGCGGGGCGTCGCCCCAGGTGTACATGGCCCAGCGCGAGCCGTGGGGCCTCGTCTCCCCCTCCACCTCCACCGCGATGAACCACGGGGCCTCCGCCGCCGCCGCCTCGGCGGTCGGCGGCTTCGGTCTGGGCTGGGCCAGCGGTCTCAGCAGCCGCGGCAGCGGTCTTAGCAGCCGCGGCAGCGCCTCCTCCGCCAGCGCCGGCGGCAGCGGCACTCGCTTGTCGTTCTTCGGGCTGGACGACGACGACGACGACGATGACGAGGAGTACGAGCAGCTGCAAGGAGCGGCCGCCGGGTCCGCGTGGGACATGTTCTTCGACGGGCGGGGCCGTCCCGTGTGGATCCACTCCAGGACCGGCGCTCGCACCACCATCAACCCTGAAAGGACAAGCCTGTAATAAGACGGAGAGAGAGAGAGAGAGAACCAAGCCAGGTGGGGAAGGAGATTGTTTACCGTGCAATCCTCCTCACCCTCCCCCCGGTCTGCCAGAGAACTAAATAGCGCACGTGTGTAAGAAGGCGTTGAGTTCGAGACCGGGTGAAGCCGAAACCTGTCTTCCACCTTTGGCTTGTACCTCATGGGGGCGGAGGGGCGGTAGTCTGTTGCACCGCAGTGGGACGTAGGAGTTGGCGGCGACTTCGGAGCGCTTATCTGCTTGCCTCTGGGTCAGTTGTGACTTCTTTCCCCTAAAAAGTCGACCGGCCGACAGACTACAGTAGGGTCAGTGACACAAACGGCCATTCATTTGTTGTGCGTTCATTTCATGCTACAGATTCACGAAATAGCAGAGGAAGGAGCACCCACAAAACTGTACAAATTTTACGAAAACAAGAAACCCAAAAAAAAGAAACGCGTTTGTTTGTGGTCTGTTTTGACTTAGAAGACCGTCGGCCGAGAGAGAAAACAACCAGGTACATGTAGTATCTATCCCTTGTGTTTCTTCCCTGCCGTGCGTTCCACTCTTTTTGGATTGGAGCGCGAGGGCGGGGGAGGGGGGGGGGGGGGGGGGGTGGCAATTTTAACAAC